ACGATTGGCCGACGCTGGTCACGTGTGTGTGTGTGTGTGTGTGAGACGTACAGTAGCGCTGCGCTGTTACACTACGTGAACTCACTCGAGGCCCACAGAGAAGGAAATTAATAGTTGAATAAAGTCTTCTTTTTTTTTGTGCACAGAAAGTATTCTCGTCGCTTGATAATCTTAAGGTTGAGCCACTGTAGTCACTCGGACTATTTTAACGATGTCTTTAATAACTTTCTGGTCCGGCCAGTTTCAATCCCTTAGAAGCCGATGGAGGAGTGATCCAGCTCTCAGATTTAATCACAAATAATTTGTGTTCCGAAGATGAACGAACCCTTTAACTAATGAACCTTATTGTAAAGTGTTACCAAACTTAAAGCATCTCAGAGACTACAGTTACTGTGACAGCAAGAGAGAAATAAGCAAACGCTGGCGTTCATTTTACTGCTTTTTAAAAAGATATTATTAATGAAACACAGGAAATGCGCCACAGGAAGTTGCATGTGCTGCGTTGTTATGTTTTTGTTTTTAGTAACAGAAACCAGGCAAGAGGACGAACAGCTGTCATATCAAGATATCACAACACCCACGATATTGCAATAGTGGCCATAACCGCAGGGTTAGTGTAAGCCTGAGCCGCTGTCATAGATGGACCCGTGTAACTCACCTCACACACACCAGTTCTGCCATTAAACGCACAGTAGCAGCCTTTATCCCAGTCACACACACTACCGGTCTAACGTTTCGGATCGTAAGATTTTTAATGCTTTTAAAAGAGTCTCTTCTGCTCAAAGCTGCATTTATTTGATCAAAAATACATCAAAAATCAGCTGTTTTCTATGTGAATATACAGTAAAGTGTAATTTATTCCTGTGATCAAAGCTGAATGTTCAGCATCATTACTCCAGTCTTCAGTGTCACATGATCCTTCAGAAATCACTCTAATATGAGGATCTGATGATCAAGAAACATTTATGATTATTATCATTTATCAGTGTTGAAAACTATTTACATTTTTGATGAATTGAAAGTTCAAAAGAACAGCATTCATCTGAAATAGAATCTTTTGTAACATTAAACAAGTTTGGGGTCAGTAAGATTTTCTCTTTTATTTATTGGGGGAAAGAAATAAAGATTCAATACTTTTACTTTTACTTTTACAATACTAATTCAATTGATCAAAAATTACAGTAAAGCCATTTATAATGTTACAAAAGATTCTATTTCAGATAAATGCTGTTCTTTTGAACTTTAGTCATCAAAGAATCCTGAAAAAATGCTGATAAATGTTTCTTAAGCATCAGATCCTCATATTAGAGTGATTTCTGAAGGATCATGTGACACTGAAGACTGGAGTAATGATGCTGAACATTCAGCTTTGATCACAGGAATAAATTACACTTTACTGTATATTCACATAGAAAACATAAATTGTCATATTTTAAAATATTATTATTATTTTTTTTTTTACAAATAAATCCAGTCTTGGTGAGCAGAAAAACATTAAAAATCTCACGACCGCTCCAAAACTCTTGAGTGGCAGTGCACACATACAAGCGTTTAGTGTCTCAGTGTCGATCTGAAGTTTACCTCTCCCGCACGAACTCCGCCATCTCTCTCTGCATCTGCCGTCCCTTCAGCTGTTTCTGCAGCAGCACCTCGAAGCCGGAGACGCCGGCGCTTCCCTGCGCGTCCTTTCTGTCCGCCTGCACACACACCAAACACACACTAAACACAGGCCAAACACAGGTCAAACACACACTCAACACACGCAAAACACACGACAAACACACACTCAACACACGCCAAACACACGTCAAACGCACGCAAAACACACACCAAACACACACTCAACACACGCAAAACACACGACAAACACACACTCAACACACGCCAAACACAGGTCAAACACACGCCAATCACACGCCAATCACACGCCTGCACACACACTCAACACACGCCTGCACACACACATAACACACGTCAAACACACACTCAACACATGCCAATCACACGCCAATCACACGCCAAACACACACTCAACACACGCCAAACACACGTCAAACACACACTCAACACATGCCTGCACACACACCAAACACACGTCAAACACACACTCAACACACGCCAAACACACGTCAAACACACACTCAACACATGCCTGCACACACACTAAACACACGCCAAACACACACTAAACACACGCCAAACACACGTCAAACGCACGCAAAACACACACCAAACACACACTCAACACACGCAAAACACACGCCAAACACACACTCAACACACGCCAAACACAGGTCAAACACACGCCAATCACACGCCAAACACACGTCAAACACACACTCAACACACGCCAAACACAGGTCAAACACACGCCTGCACACACACCAAACACACGTCAAACACACACTCAACACACGCCAAACACAGGTCAAACACACGCCAATCACACGCCAAACACACACTCAACACACGCCAAACACACGTCAAACACACACTCAACACACGCCAAACACAGGTCAAACACACGCCAATCACACGCCAAACACACACTCAACACACGCCTGCACACACACCAAACACACGTCAAACACACACTCAACACACGCCAAACACAGGTCAAACACACGCCAATCACACGCCAAACACACACTCAACACACGCCAAACACACGTCAAACACACACTCAACACACGCCAAACACAGGTCAAACACACGCCAATCACACGCCTGCACACACGCCAAACACACGCCAAACACACACTCAACACACGCCTGCACACACACCAAACACACACTCAACACACGCCAAACACAGGTCAAACACACGCCAATCACACGCCAAACACACACCAAACACACTAAACACACACCAAACACACGTCAACACACACTCAACACACGCCAAACACAGGTCAAACACACGCCTGCACACACACCAAACACACGTCAAACACACACTCAACACACGCCAAACACAGGTCAAACACACGCCAATCACACGCCAAACACACACCAAACACACTAAACACACACCAAACACACGTCAACACACACTCAACACACGCCAAACACAGGTCAAACACACGCCAATCACACGCCAAACACACCAAACACAGGTCAAACACACGCCAATCACACGCCAAACACACGCCAATCACACGCCAAACACACACCAAACACACGTCAAACACACGTCAAACACACACTCAACACACGCCAAACACAGGTCAAACACACGCCAATCACACGCCAAACACACGTCAACACACACTCAACACACGCCAAACACAGGTCAAACACACGCCAATCACACGCCAAACACACGTCAACACACACTCAACACACGCCAAACACAGGTCAAACACACGCCAATCACATGCCAAACACACGTCAACACACACTCAACACACGCCAAACACAGGTCAAACACACGCCAATCACACGCCAAACACACGCCAAACACACACTCAACACACGTCAAACACACTCAACACACGCCAAACACACAACACACGCCAAACACAGGTCAAACACACGCCAAACACACACTCAACACATGTCAAACACACTCAACACACGCCAAACACACTCAACACACGCCAAACACAGGTCAAACACACACCAAACACACACTCAACACACGCCAAACACACACTCAACACACGCCAAACACACTCAACACACGCCAAACACAGGTCAAACACACGCCAAACACACTCAACACACGCCAAACACACTCAACACACGCCAAACACAGGTCAAACACACGCCAAACACACTCAACACACGCCAAACACACGCCAAACACACTCAACACACGCCAAACACAGGTCAAACACACGCCAAACACACACTCAACACACGTCAAACACACTCAACACACGCCAAACACACTCAACACACGCCAAACACAGGTCAAACACACGCCAAACACACACTCAACACACGCCAAACACACACTCAACACACGCCAAACACACTCAACACACGCCAAACACACACTCAACACACGCCAAACACACTCAACACACGCCAAACACACTCAACACACGCCAAACACAGGTCAAACACACGCCAAACACACTCAACACACGCCAAACACACTCAACACACGCCAAACACACTCAACACATGCCAAACACACACTCAACACACGTCAAACACACTCAACACACGCCAAACACACTCAACACACGCCAAACACAGGTCAAACACACGCCAAACACACACTCAACACACGCCAAACACACACTCAACACACGCCAAACACACTCAACACACGCCAAACACACACTCAACACACGCCAAACACACTCAACACACGCCAAACACACTCAACACACGCCAAACACAGGTCAAACACACGCCAAACACACTCAACACACGCCAAACACACTCAACACACGCCAAACACACTCAACACACGCCAAACACACTCAACACACGCCAAACACACACTCAACACACGCCAAACACACACTCAACACACGCCAAACACACTCAACACACGCCAAACACAGGTCAAACACACGCCAAACACAGGTCAAACACACGCCAAACACACTCAACACACGCCAAACACAGGTCAAACACACGCCAAACACACTCAACACACGCCACACACTCAACACACGCCAAACACACACTCAACACACGCCAAACACACACTCAACACACGTCAAACACACACTCAACACGTGAGGACTGCTGTGCACAGGAGTGTGGGAAGGCGGCAGGTTTGTTGGGAACAAGGCCTGAGTTGGATATTCAGGAGCTAAAACAGATGTTTTGTGAAACTCATGCTGTTCAATGGTATAAAAATGTGTCATTTGCACTGTCAGTGTTTGTGTTTGTGAGGCTTTTTGAAACTATGCAACCAAATCTTTGTGGTTTTTCAGAGACATTCTTACCCAAAAATAATCGCAGTAGCTCCACTCGTCGGGTTTGAGCAGCTGCTGCTCCGACATGTGCAGCGGGAGAGGGAACGTCACGCAGTTTATCTACAGAGAGACAGACACAAGTCATCAGGGACAGAGCTGACAAACTCCTGCAGAAGGAGAACATGCTCTGAACGGACAGATTACAGACAGAAATGCCTCAGTCTCCGGTAAATGAAGACCATCAGCTTAAGTCCAGTATAATGAGCATCATTAACAGCTCATTTGGACAAATAAACAAGGGAACAGTCAGCAGTTCCAACCCATAAACACAATCATCCACGCGCAAGTGGAAATTACACCAGCATTAGTTCAGGCACATGAAATTGATTATTCTGTTTGTGCATTTCAGACAGTTTGTGTATTAGATGTTACATTGTTACGCCAGTAGGTGGCGACAAATGAGTGAGTCATTGAATCATTTATTCAACCAATTCGTTCAACTACACTGATTCATTCAGGAACGAAACAGACGACTGAGTTTGTGAGTGAGTCATTGAATCATTTATTCAACCAATTCGTTCAACGACACTGATTCATTCAGGAACGTCACAAGCGACTGACTTTGTGAGAGTCATCGAATCATTCATTCAAGCAATTCGTTTAACTACACTGATTCATTTAGCAACGAAACAGACGACTGACTTTGTGAGTGAGTCATTGAATCATTTATTCAACCAATTCGTTTAACGACACTGATTCATTCAGGAACGTCACAGGCGACTGACTTTGTGAGTGAGTCATTGAATCATTTATTCAACCAATTCGTTCAACGACACTGATTCATTCAGGAACGAAACAGACGACTGACTTTGTGAGTCATCGAATCATTCATTCAAGCCATTCGTTCAACTACACTGATTCATTCAGGAACGAAACAGGCGACTGACTTTGTGAGTGAGTCATCGAATCGTTCATTCAAGCAATTCGTTCAACAACACTGATTCATTCAGGAACGAAACAGACGACTGACTTTGTGAGTGAGTCATTGAATCATTTATTCAACCAATTCGTTCAACGACACTGATTCATTTAGGAACGTCACAGGCGACTGACTTTGTGAGTGAGTCATCGAATCGTTCATTCAACCAATTCGTTCAACAACACTGATTCATTCAGGAACGAAACAGACGACTGACTTTGTGAGTGAGTCATCGAATCGTTCATTCAACCAATTCGTTCAACGACACTGATTCATTCAGGAACGTCATAGGCGACTGACTTTGTGAGTGAGTCATTGAAACATTTATTCAACCAATTCGTTCAACAACACTGATTCATTCAGGAACGAAACAGGCGACTGACTTTGTGAGTGAGTCATTGAATCATTTATTCAACCAATTCGTTCAACAACACTGATTCATTCAGGAACGAAACAGACGACTGACTTTGTGAGTGAGTCATCGAATCGTTCATTCAACCAATTCGTTCAACTACACTGATTCATTTAGGAACGACACAGACGACTGACTTTGTGAGTGAGTCATCGAATCGTTCATTCAACCAATTCGTTCAACAACACTGATTCATTCAGGAACGAAACAGACGACTGACTTTGTGAGTGAGTCATCGAATCGTTCATTCAACCAATTCGTTCAACTACACTGATTCATTTAGGAACGAAACAGGCGACTGACTTTGTGAGTGAGTCATTGAATCATTTATTCAACCAATTCGTTCAACAACACGGATTCATTCAGGAACGAAACAGACGACTGACTTTGTGAGTGAGTCATTGAATCATTTATTCAACCAATTCGTTCAACGACACTGATTCATTCAGGAACGTCACAGGCGACTGACTTTGTGAGTGAGTCATCGAATCGTTCATTCAACCAATTCGTTCAACTACATTGATTCATTTAGGAACGAAACAGGCGACTGACTTAGTGTAGTTGAACGAATTGCTTGAATGAACGATTCGATGACTCTCACTCACAAAGTCAGTCGCCTGTTTGTTCCTGAATGAATCTGTGAGAGTCATCGAATCTTTCATTCAAGATATTGCGACTGAAATGTAAGTTAATATTAACTTGATTATTTACATGCTGTATCACTCTCTCAATCATGGACTTGATTTTATCTGTTGTTGGTTGGAGGACATCTTTGAGAAGTGGAAAAACGTATTTTTACAGGCATGTTTTTGTCATAACAGTTTATTTTAATAAAAGGGTAAAAGCTGGTCATGTGATGTCAACATGGTTGTAATTTTTTAGTTCATGCATGTTTAAGAGTTAAAGCTATGAAGTGCTTGTCATTATAATGAAGTGTGTGTGCGATCTGTGCCTGTACTGTTACTGTAAGAACTGTTCAAGCGACAGTGTTTCAGAGAAACAGCTGTTTAACACTTACACTGGAGCACAACCAGCTGTGAACGCACTTTAAACAAAGAAGTAGTAGGCTATACAAAAACCTACTGACCATCTCACTCTTGATGCTTATGAAGGTTTTTTCAACAAGAAATGTAAAACTTATGCATTTTGGACGTTCATTTACAATGAAAACACCGTCGGTTTCAACGTGAACGGTTTTGAAACGTTACCGCAATCTTCTCGGTGTAAATGTCAAAAACATGAATGTGTGAAAGCGGTGACGTCATGCGCACGTGTGTCACATGTTCATTATAGGCTTGTTTGAGATGAGCAAAATCTGCGCAGAACCGATCACCGGTGATCAGCGCGAGATGCATGCCGGTTAGAAATGTGTCCGAGTGCGGTCCGCCTTGCTCTGATGTCATGCCGACGTATGTCAAAAAACTCTCGGGACCGCAAGGCGCACTTGTCCGATTCTGCAGTCGCGCGCAGTTGCTCTTCACCGACTGCGCTGATCAAAAGCACGATGGGAAACGACTTGCTGACGACACAGCTTAATGCTCATTGGTTTAAACAACCGTGATGTATTGTTCTCTTTTAAAATGTTTGATTTTAAAACTCTGATATCATGTTTTATGTGTATAAATTATGTGTTGATATTCCCAAACTCTCTGACAGTGTGATCTATCTATGTGATGTAATTTAAATTAAAATAAATTAAAATAAAAACACATATCTGTATTAAAGAAAAAATGATTGATAAACATATAGGCCTATTTAAAATGGAATTAAATAAGTACTTTTGGTGTCTTGTTCCTTATATTTATTTTCATATTCAAGCAACAAAACTTCAATTACATCCAGTTTATTAGCAACACCGTGCACGAGTGAATCCCGCGATATCCGCCTTTGCTCTCGCAGGGGTGTCTGATCCACTGCGAGAAGCGAGATCTGTCCGGCTTGCCTGAGCTTTTTTCACTCCTCCTCTCACTGCAGCCGCCTACTCTCGACTACATTTCAGGCGAGGCAAGGCGCATCTCAAACAAGCCTAATGTTTCTTTACAGAGTGACATCGCCACCTACAGGCCGGACAGCAGAATACAGCGATTATAATCGCGCGTTAATGGACCCGTGTGAACGAGGAAAACACGAAGGAAAAACTTTTAGTACAGTCATGTAAATGTACTCTAAATATCCATCCATCCATCTTCTTCCGCTTATCCGGGGCCGGGTCGCGGGGGCAGCAGTCTAAGCAGAGATGCCCAGGCTTCCCTCTCCCTGGACACTTCCTCCAGCTCTTCCGGGGGGACACCGAGGCGTTCCCAGGCCAGCCGGGAGACATAGTCTCTCCAGCGTGTCCTAGGTCTTCCCCGGGGTCTCCTCCCAGTGGGACGTGCCCGGAACACCTCCCCGGGAAGGCGTCCAGGAGGCATCCGAAACAGATGCCCGAGCCAACTCAGCTGACCCCTCTCGATGTGGAGGAGCAGCGGCTCTACTCTGAGCTCCTCTCGAGTGACCGAGCTTCTCACCCTATCTCTAAGGGATCGCCCAGCCACCCTGCGGAGAAAGCTCATTTCGGCCGCCTGTATCCGGGATCTTGTCCTTTCGGTCATGACCCAAAGCTCATGACCATAGGTGAGAGTAGGAACGTAGATTGACCGGTAAATCGAGAGCTTTGCCTTACGGCTCAGCTCTTTCTTCACCACAACAGACCGGTACATCGACCACATTACTGCAGAAGCTGCACCGATCCGTCTGTCAATCTCCCGTTCCATCCTTCCCTCACTCGTGAACAAAACCCCAAGATACTTAAACTCCTCTACTTGAGGAAGGATCTCTCCACCAACCTGAAGTGAGAAAGCCGCCCTTTTCCGATTGAGGACCATGGCCTCGGATTTGGAGGCGCTGATTCTCATCCCAGCCGCTTCACACTCGGCTGCAAACCGTCCCAGTGCATGCTGAAGGTCCTGGTGTGAGGGGGCCAACACGACAACATCATCCGCAAAGAGCAGAGACGAAATTGCGTGGTCCCCAAACCTGACACCCTCCGGCCCCTGGCTGCGCCTAGAAATTCTGTCCATAAAAATTATGAACAGAACCGGCGACAAAGGGCAGCCCTGCCGGAGTCCAACATGCACCGGGAAGAAGTCTGACTTACTACCGGCAATGCGAACCAAGCTCCTGCTTCGGTCATACAGGGACCGGACAACCCTTAGCAAAGGACCCGGGACCCCATACTCCCGGAGCACCCTCCACAGGCCGCCTCGGGGGACACAGTCGAATGCCTTCTCCAAATCCACAAAGCACATGTGGACTGGTTGGGCAAACTCCCATGAACCCTCCAGCACCCTGTAGAGGGTATAGAGCTGGTCCAGTGTTCCACGGCCTGGACGAAAACCGCACTGTTCCTCCTGAATCCGAGGTTCCACTATCGGCCGTATTCTCCTCTCCAGTACCCTGGCATAGACTTTCCCAGGGAGGCTGAGAAGTGTGATCCCCCTGTAGTTGGAACACACCCTCCGGTCCCCCTTCTTAAAAAGAGGGACCACCACCCCGGTCTGCCATCCCAGAGGCACTGTCCCCGACCGCCACGCGATGCTGCAGAGGCGTGTCAGCCAAGACAGCCCCACAACATCCAGAGACTTGAGGAACTCAGGGCGGATCTCATCCACCCCCGGTGCCTTGCCACCGACGAGTTTCTTGACTACCTCGGTGACCTCAGCTAGGGTGATGGACGAGTCCACCTCTGAG